ATAATTTTCATCCATTAATTTTTTTATACATTTTTTCAGTTTTTTAACTATGAAAAATATACTTTTTTAGTTCATTCATCAATTAACCTATTAACTTTATTTAAATATGTACATTTTTAGCTCCTTAATTTAAAGTTGAGAACAAAAATGTGTATATATAGAAGTTAAAAAACTAAAAATATACATATATAAATGAATTTAACAGATTAATTAATAAAAAAAATTAAAAAATACATTTATTTTTTATAATTGAAAGACCAAAAAAGTGAATAAAAAATTATATAAAATCTTAAAGTTAAAATATTAAATTTGACATTTAACCTAAAAAAAAATTATCTTTTTTACATTAGCTATCTTGATAAACTGAATGAAAATAGTAATTAGAAAAAGGAGATTCGATTAGTGGTCCCCTTCATTCATGTAGTTGAAATTGATATTTGTAATTTATATTAAAGCAAGAGAAGGAAAGACGAGGGAGGCCAAGAGATTCCAAAACAGTACCAGTACCAGATCGAAGTTACTACCACAACCACAACAGTCAAGACAAAACACAGTATTCTACATCTCTTGCTTCCATGTTTTTAATGAGACTTCTTAAATTAGGCTCAGATCTAGATGAATTTTATTTACGTGTAAGTTCAGTATAGGAAAGCTTAAAAGAAGTAGACAATTCGATTGGATAGAACCCCAACTTCACTTCCAATCCTTCGTTCTCTTTGATCCACCCCCATTATTCAGCTATGTTTCTTGAGCCTTTCCGTCTGCATTTCCTCAATCTTTCCTGCAAACGTACATTCAAGTTGTTCTCCTCCAGACCTTGTCATCAAAGTAAGAGCAGTTCCAAATTCATGTAGTTTAAACATTGGTACTTCGTATTCAAAAAACCTGACCCAATTGTTGAGGCTTCTTGCTTTAGTCTTTCTCCACCATGAAGTTTCATGCCGTTGAGCTTCCACTTCCACCTAATGGAAAGAACAGTCCAAACAGATTGTTTTTCATAGCTATTACCCTGTTTCTCCTTACCTTAGTTCCTTTGTGTCTCTGGAATTGGGGACCGCCTTTGACATTTCCTAAGATTGACATCAGTAGCCTGAGAAAAAGCAAAGAGCAAGGTAAGAAATGTGATATCTTTACCGGACAATGGGTGCCTCACCCAGAAGGTCCATATTACACCACTAACACTTGCCGTTTGATTATTGATGAGTATAACTGCATCAAGTTTGGGAGGGCTGATACGGAATTCATGAAATGGAGGTGGAAGCCGGAGGGATGTGAGCTACCGTACTTCGATGCAGTGCAATTCTTGGAGCTTGTCAGAGGGAAATCCATGGCCTTTGTTGGGGACTCTGTAGGAAGGAACCAAATGCATTCATTGCTTTGCCTATTAGCCAAAGTAAATAACTTATCTCTAAGATCTTCTGAACAAAATTGATTCATCAGACATGCAAATAATATGATGATTTTGTAAATGTAATTTTTCAGGTGGCCACTACCGAAGATACTTCTCATAAATATTCAACTGATACAGAACATTTCCAGCATTGGTACTATGCAGATTACAACTTCAGCCTAGTGGCATTATGGTCGCCGTACTTGGTTAAAACCAAAGAAGCAGACCCAAATGGGTATTCCAATGACATCCTGATGAACCTCTACTTAGATGAAGCTGATGAAGAATGGGCAGGGCAGATTGAAAGCTACAACTATGTGATAATTTCAGTAGGGCAATGGTTCTTCCGGCCAATGTACTACTATGAGAAGGGTAAGCTTGTTGGTTGTTTCAGGTGCCCTGAGAACAACATCACAAACCTTAGCAAGTACTATGGATACAAAATGGCCTTCAGAACAGCCTTCAGGACCCTTCTGAGCCTGAAAAGCTACAAGGGTGTTACATTTTTAAGGACGTTTTCACCAGCACACTTTGACGCAGCTTGGAATAAGGGAGGGGACTGTGTGAGGACAACGCCCTACACAAGCCAAGACGAGAAGTTGCAGGACTTTCAGAGGGAATTTTACTTGACACAGGAGGAGGAACTAAGAGCAGCAGAGGAAGAAGGAAGGAGAAGGGGTTTGAAATTTGGGCTATTAAATACAACTGAAATAATGTGGCTGAGGCCAGATGGACATCCGAGCCATTTTGGGCGGTCACACAGAAATGTGACAACCAACGACTGTGTTCACTGGTGCTTGCCTGGTCCAATTGATACATGGAACGAGTTCTTGCTGTATCTGATGAAGAGGGAAGTTCTCACAAAACTAGGAGGAAAGCTGATGCAAAATTAATGATGACAATTTACATTCAAGTGGTTTTAAGTTTGTCATGTACCATCCATTTGATTCAATTGTTAAAACTCAGCCAATAGTTTATTAGTTGTTTGCTGTTTCATGTCAAATGACTAATAAAACATTACGGATGTTAGTTAATTCTATTATTTGTTTACTTTCCTTTATAAACACGTAATTTTCATTTAAATAACAATAATAATTGATTAAAGCAAAAGTAAAAGATAAAGAAAAAGCTAAGGAAGAAATTAGTAAAAGAAAAGTAATTACTAATTAAGCCACAAAAATATGTAAGAAGAATGGTGAGGATATAACTTGGTAAAGAAAAGACCTAGCTTTTGTCTTAAGCCTTTAGGGAAACCAATTGCTACCAGCTTAAAGGCTTATGTGTTTTAGCAAGTGGGAACAACTAACAGCTATCAGCTTAAGGGCCTCTGTTGTTTAATTAACATATTTTAATTGTTTGGCTTCCTTTAATTCAGAAGATGAATGATTAACCAAGAAGAGAACAGAATTTGATATCGTATTGGAAGAAGAGATATGAAGAATACCAAAGCAATCAACAAAACTAGTAAGAATATTGCTGACAGCTAATTCAACAAAAAATGGCAGATTGTAAGCCTAAACACACATTAAATGAATTTCTATGTTGTTAGGTACCTGGAGAGGCCAGCTTCAAAGCTTTGCCCCAAATTTTCACCCCTCTCACCCATAAATCTTCCACTGTTTCTTCCATTGATCTCTAGGAATATGAGAATTTTTCATTAGTGAAAAGCAGCAAAAGCAAACAATATCTCTAAAGAGTAAACAATGGCAAATGGAAAAGCAAAAGTAATGAATTGTTACAGTCAGTAATAAAAAGATGAAATGAAACAATTCCTTCTTATTGTTTCTCTAACTTGTCTAGTATAGCTGAACTTGTAGCTTCAGTGTCTTTTCCAGCTTCAACTTTCACCATGGACTTAATGACAGATTCACCAGATCTTCCAGACTAACTGAGACCAGATGCAGTTGTAAACTTGTCTCAATCTCATCCATTTCCAATTAAAGATTTGATAATTTGATGAAACATTTACCAATGCCAATAAGTTCTAAGAAATCATAATCTCATACGGAAGGAAATGATTCTCACTTCCATGAATTAACATGTCAGTCAGTAAATAAATCCAATTAAATATAAGAAAACTGAATATGCCTGAAAAATAATAACACTTGCAGGTTACTACGAGTTGTAGAAACCCCTTAAAATATAAATAGCTTTAAGCACAATTGGATGTGTAAAAACACTGCTCAACATAGCAGCACCTAGCATAAGATCTGAATTCTTAGTCCTAAAGCCACGTCATAAGAACCACTGGCAGCTATATCTAGAGGGGAAACATCACTATATCGACATTCACAAAATGAAACACTAAACCAAAGTTACTACCACTACCACACAATCAAACATAGAGATGTCAATCTAAAGCACATAATTCTATAAAATGTGTTGATAAAGGAAACTATTTTTTTATGTCAAAACTCCAGCTCGATCTCTTGCTTTCCAGTTTTTAAAGAGGTATCTTATATTAGGGTCAAATCTTGAGGACTTTTTTAACAAGTACAGAGTAGGACAGCTTAAACAAGTAATTGGATTCCATCAAACCAATAATAAACCCTATTTTCTTCTAACACCAATCAACTTCACTTCCAATCCTTCTTCTC